GCAGAGAAAAGACCAGAGTCCATATTACTGCCACAGTACACTTACTAACTTATATTGAACTTTCTGATTTCAGAACCATGATGAAATACTGTAACACTACATATGGAAATGTTCTTTCTAGGAAAGGGTTTCCGTTTCTACCCCTTTTAAATTGTTCCATATCAACATGTCATGAATTCACACCATAAAAAAACCCCAATCGTTTCACACTTTTTCAGATTGTAGATAAAAGAACTGAGTGAAGCTGGGTTTTTTTACTAAAATGTAATAGTAAAGCTCCCTCTGCTGGAAATTTCAGTGAAAGAAAGCAGCATTTCTGTAACATTTAGAGTTTCTGCATAAGAATCAAGAAACTACTCCTGAAGACAGGAACTTTCTCTAAGTGAACCAAAGTCTCATTTTCATTTTAATAAATGGCTTTCTCAGGAGGGCTTATTCCATAAATTCTCTTTGGAAGTGCTACAATATTTGTCTTAACATTTCTTTGGAAACTGGCAGATCTTGTAACTTTCAAATTATATGGTTATATCTGATTAACAAATATTTTGAGTGAGTTTTTTCACATTATCTTTAATCCTAGCTTGGAACGTGCAATGCCCTTTGCATTCGTGTTTAGAGGGAGATGTTCTCAAATGCTAACTTTAAAAGTACGGGGAACTATTGTCTTTCCTCTGTTTCTACTGACAATGAGGAGAAGGGGCCAATCCAAAACCAGGTTAGAGTCCCTTTAAGACGAATGATTTCTTTTACTGACCCTGTAGACTAGGGGCACCTAAATTTTGCTCCTCCTGCTTATTGGTCAATTATCAAGGCACAGGAAGACAACTTGCAGCTTTCTTAAATGATTCACCACTCTGGTGCAGAAGTGAGGCCCTCACCTCAGGAATAATCTCATTTAGCAGAAATGAAGTATTTCCTCCAATCTGTCTTTACAAATACATGGAAAGAGAAGTCTATGGCAAAGCAACCTCACCATTAGTGATAAAATGGCAGAGGTGAATTTCATCATTCTGAACTTTGAATTTGCCTACAGCATGAATCCAAAAGGGGACACTGCCTCACTGTCACCTTCTTCTGACTGTCCTCAGTCCCAGTAAGGATATGGTTGGATGACGTAAATGAAACGCACTGCCAGTAAACGGGTAGATCCTCTCTCTTTAGTTCCCACTTGCAGTGTCTGCTGTCCACCCAGCTACGTGCTGAGCCAGCTCAGCTCAGCAAGCCAGGTTTGGGGGGTTTTTTTGCTGATATAGTTTCCTGTGGAATGGTCAAGATAGCACCAGAGTGGTACAAGGGGAGAGGAAAGACATATGGCCAGAGCAGCACGAGGGAAGCAGCACTGCCTCCAATGCATCAGTGAATCAGGAGGAAGGCTCAGCCATATTAACAGCACCCAGAGGAAACTGAACAAAAGCCCTGCCTTGGCGTCGAGGAGGGAAGAGCAGCCCATGAGAAGGGGCCTTGAAGGATGAAGAGAAATGGTTTCAGAGCTTGCACAGAAGCCAAGTGACCTCCAGCACTGGAGTGCTGGGATTGCTTCCTATTTACTTCCTACATTTTCTTTTTTGGATGGACAGGCATATTTCCTTGTAACTGTCTATCTTCCACCTTCGCAGGCATCTTCTGGAATATATAACAGCTCTTTAACCTCCAGAACCATTGTCATTATAAATAAAATAGTCCTAGGCAAAAATCTATATACCTTTCAGATTTTTTTTTACACATGCTATTTGCTGAAAGAACTGAGGTAACTCCAAGTGTGTTTTTAAGATTCATGCATTCCCTGCTATGTATTTAAGTCTGTAGACAAAGTTAAAAATCCACAGAAGAAAACCAGAAACAGACAGGTATGCTTACATATCTCCACACAGATTAATTTCCCTTGAACATCATAATAATAATAATAATTATTATTATTATTACTACTACTATTATGTCAATGGGCTATTCATTCTTACTATAGCTTTATTTTTAAACAGTTTATGCTAAAAAATGTTACTGGAAAAATAAGCTGTCGATACAACCCTCAGTTTTACCAGAGCTAGTAATTGGATTTGGGGATTTCAGTATAAATAGTATACAGACTGAAGAATTTGGAGGGCAGAGCCACCCTGCAGGAAGACCTGCATAGGCTGGAAGGGTCAGGTAACAAGAACCTTATGAAGTTCAACAAGGACGTAAGGTCTTGCACCTGTGAAAACATAATCCAGGAGTGCAGCACAGGCTGGGATCTACTTGGCTGGGGAGCAGCTGTGTGGAGAGAGACCTGGGGGTCCCAGGGGACAACAAGCTCAATATGAGTTAACAGAGTGCTGCTGCTACAGCAAAGAAAGCCAACAGGATGCTAGGTTACATCAAAAAGGACATCACCAGCAGAGATAAAGAAGTCATTATCCCACTCTACTCAGCGCTGGTCAGGCCACACTTGGAATATTGTGTTCAGTTTCGGTCCCCGCTACGCAAAAAAGACATGAACAGGCTGGAGAGGGTCCAGAGAAGGGCCACAGAAATGATCAAAGGACTGGGAAGCCTGCCATATGAGGAAAGGCTGAGAGAACTGGGTTTGTTCAGCCTTGAGAAAAGGCGGCTATGGAGAGACCTCATCATCACGTTCCAATACTTAAAGGGTGGCTACAAAGAAGATGGAGACTCCCTTCTTACAAGGAGTCACATGGAAAAGATGAGGGGTAATGAGTGCAAGTTATTTCTGGGGAGATTCCAACTGACACAAGAGGAAAATTTTTCACAATGAGAACAAATTGCTGTTGGAATGATCTCCCCAGGGAAGTGGTGGACTCCCCAACATTGGACCCAGGGTGCTGGGCCATCTTGTCTAGACGGAGCTTTTGCCAAGAAAGGTTGGACCAGATGATCCTTGAGGTCCCTTCCAACCTGGTATTCTATGATTCTAAGAAGAATGGTTTGAAAAATCTAGATAATTCTATATGGTTTGAACAGTCAGTTCTTTCATGAAAAGGCAGAGCTTTTTCATCCTTTTCATTCTCTGTCAAAAGGGTATCTTGACTTTCTTTTCTTTTTAAAAGACCTTGAGATAGAAGATGAAAAATCCAACATTTTACATACTAACGCACTTATGTGCTGTATTTTTATGTCAAATGATTTAATCTTGAAGGACTGCTTCGCTTTTTCCTTTTGAAATGATATCTTTGCTTTCCCTCCCTTCAGAGAATAAAAGGAGGTAATACCTCTCGTATGAGGACAGGCTGAGAGAGTTGGGGTTGTTCAGCCTGGAGAAGAGAAGGCTCAAGGGAGACCTTATAGTATTCTATGATCCTTTTATAGAGAGGATTATTCCCAGAGGATCTGTCACCATCGGAAAAAATGGAAGTTATTAAGGCTACTCCCAATCATCTCTTTCATCTCCAATTTTTAGATTCACTAGTTATTGTTATTCTACTTTTTTAAAAGTGTTATTGAAAAAGTACACAAATTGGGATTGTTGTGTTCTCATGATTCTTTTGAAAGTGGTGATACCAATAGCTTTCATTTTCAGTAGGAAGCACTTGCAAGTATTGTGGGTAGTGGATGCATTTTTTTTAGTCTCTGAGAGAAGTCACCTGGGATGAGGGTATGATCTTCTTGAACTGGCTGATCGACTGTCATGAAATGAATAGATTTGTGCAGCTACAGCGAGAGAAAGTTTTCGCATGATAGAACTTTTAACTTCAATTCTGTTTATTCTCTAGAACAACTGCAAATATTAAAGGCAGAAGTAACAATAAGACTTTTAAAGAAGATGGTTTCCAGTACCTCATTCAATATTTCTAAAACTTTGTATCTTTAAAAAATTTTTTTTTCCTAATCATTGCTCTGAACATTTTTTTTTTTCTCTGGGGAAAAAAAATAGTTTCCCATTTTGGAGTTTCAGAGAAAAAAAATGAATTATTTTAATATGCACTTTCTACCATTTACTCTGATACTTGCTGGAGAGATTCCAAGCAGTAGTTTGATTTAATAACTCAGATAACAGTGGTTCTTACCATACAAAATTGCCAATAGAATAGATAAGACAGTCATAAAAAAGAAATCAAATGAAATGCTTTGGAATAGACTAATTATGTATGAGAGTCAGGAAGAAACTTGCCTCGTACTCAGTAAGATAACTGGATTATGCTTTCTTCTAATTTGATAAACCCTAAGTAGAACTGATGACAAGAAATGAGCCAAGATGTGCAACAGCTTTTCCATACGACATTTTCTCCTATCCTGTTCCTATGTTAAATGAGATAGATGAAACAGGGGAATATACAATAGTCAGACACTCACTTCTTATTTTTTAAGACTGAAATGACACACACTAAGAAACTGGAAAGACCCTGAAAAGATAAAAACCGCATCAGTATATATTGTGTTACTAAAGCCAAACAGCACCCACTTTCATGGGAGACGATGAAATTCAGAGCTTCTTCAAAATTGTACTATGTTCTTAATTTAGGTAAAGGGTTTAAAAGTGGTATAAATATTTCTGCTCCTCTTTAAACATATATCCCTCATCGGAATTCTCAATTTGTAGTCATGCCACTTCATCTCAAGATGCAATATACACTTCAGTACTGATTTCAAGTTAAGTTCCTGGTGCAAAGCCTATAATGCATATACACTACACTCACTTTTTAAATGATTACAGTGTCAAAATCTATCTCTTTTCCTATTTTTTCCCCCAAGTATTTTCCCCAAATTTTGTTTTGAGTCAGAAAAATTTGTGTATGTCAGCACTCCTGACGAAGTATCTTTCACTTGAGACAGTATTTCCATTATCCTCTACTCTTTTGTTCAAAGTGTCTTGGGCACAAGTTCATGCCTATAGCCTTTTTAATAACACATGAATTACATTAAAAAACATCTATCTGACCTTTCACTCTCATCACAACAACTCTTATTCTTTAGGAAAATTTATTTTGTTGGAGAATATTAGTTTCCTCTTCTCTTGGCTCAACTGGATCTTCTAGTACTCAGCATTTTGACCATTGACTGCCAGTTAATCTAGCACTGAATTTCTTATTTGCTTTCTACTACAAAATCTATTTCCATAGGCAAGTAAATCTTACGTACTAAGGTTCTGGCTTACTATGGTGTTTTCTTCACTGTATTTGGTTTTTGGCATTTATATTTTGCCTCTTTGTTCTATCTCTTGTAAAGATTTCATTATAATGCTGATGTTATCCAGGTCTGCATCTTCCTACTAAATCTCTGCAACAGTCATTTGTTATAAGAAAATTTTATCACATGAAATACCATTAAAAGAAAATATCTATTGGTTGACTTCAGATTTATGGTGAAAAAAATAATCAATAATGATAATCAAATTCTTTCTGCAGAAATTAACTTTATAACCCATAAAAAAATGCTACTATTTATACATTTGCTGACCCCAAATTTATGGTAATTTTTTTCCTAATAATGATAATCTGATTTCATGTAAAGAAATTTATTTTATCACCTAGAATATTGCCAGGGTAAGACTGTATGTTGGTGGAAGAAGAGAGACAAAGGCATTGAAACGTAGACAAATGTTTGCATTATTTCCTGGATTGGCTACTGTTATTTCCACTTCATAGTTTTCCCAAAGGAGTTTTAACCTACCCAGAATCTTGCAGCTTGATTCATCATTACACATAACCTTTCCCAGCACATCATTTCCACCTTCACTGTCTCCAGTGGCTTGCAGTACAATACATCATATTACAATTTCAGTTAGATTTTCAATTTATAATTTAGAAAAACCTTGAAGGCACTCCGCCAGATTGAAAAGAGATGACTTTAGCATTTTCAAAATACAGGATTTAAGGACTGATATCTATACATCCTTTTTTTTTTTTTTACAGTTTTTGCATTTTGGTAGGAGATTAATTACATGCCTATTATACAGCTGTGGAATTCATTACAAGCCAAAGCTGATATTTTTTAAATCTGTGGGCAAAGTCAAAACTCCCCTTTCCTGCTTCTATACCATTATAGTTTGGGATAGAATTTGTGGAAATAAATAGCTAGCAATGCTTTGCATATATCTCTTTGAAAAGCTAATTTACCATTGGGACACAACTATTTAATAGTACAATAATATACAACATATTTCATCTTCCAAGTACTATACATACAACCCTGCAGACTAATATATAACAGTTGTATTTGCTGATTTTTATAACTTGTACGATATGTTGAACATCTGTATCTGTACTAGTTTTATACGTATGTTAAAGATTCTGCTCAAAGTCACAGGAAAATTCTGTATGACAAAAGAGGTATTTAATCCATTTAGACATCCAGCAGATTGTGCATCTCCATCACTATTAACAGACAGCTACTTGAAAAGTGACTTCCTAAATACCTTCCCAAATATTCAGGGTCATTTAAATTTACTACAGAATGGAAGCTTTCCTCTAAAATTTCCCCACACGCACTCCCCAATACCACTTTCAAGCACCTCAGAGGAAAGAAACATCGATCATCCATGTTGCGCTGGGAGGCGCTGGCTTGTTACAATCCCAGTAAGGAAGGCACTCAAGACTCTGTAAAGTATTTCTTAAAATGCTATTTATTGGAGCTAAGACTATAAAGAAAAAGAAGATAGCATCAATAATCTGACATCCCTTCAGATGCTGGGAATACTGAGCTGAGTGGAATTGAAGAGGCCTCCAGCCAGGCACAGCATGCTATGCAGATCCCATCCATGGAAGGCTACCCCATTTTGGTCATTGGAGTTCTTATAGGATTTTTCTTACAGGCAAAGCAAATCTATTCATCATCGATGCTGTCAAATAAACAGGACATTCACATGGGAACTTGCTGCTGAAATTTTAGACAAAGGCAAGGACACGCGGGTGGTGTAACCACTGGTACCAAGCAGGAGCTGCCTGTGAGTTCCTCCGTTACAATGAGCTGGCAAAGTGTATCCTGCAGCAAAGGGCGATGCACAGCACAAGCCTGAATGTCAAACGATACGCGCAGCACAGCACGGTGCAGCCATGCACTTTGGTTAACTGTTACGCAGATGTCTACCTCCTTGATGTACAATGGCCTTCCAGTTAGGATCACTACAGCATCTCTCATTTCAGTGGGATGTAAATTCTTTAGTTTACTGATTAAGTAACAGGGCTGTAAAAAAAGCCAGTTAAATTGCATACCTGTCAGCACCACTGTGTGTTCTCCACCACAAGCAACCTTATTAACCTTTTCCACAATTCCCAGTACAGGCTGTGGGACTCGATTGTTCTTCAGCTGTTCAGGCAATAATCCCAGTTTCCCATTCTCAGGTTCTCCAAAAGTATAGAGCTCACCATCTCCTGTGAAAATACAGAACAGAGCAGGATTTCCAGCATGCACTCAGAAGCAAAGCTGCATTGTCAAGACTGCTGCAGACACAAATCAGTAAGATAGAAAAGTGTATGAACATTATGGGATAATTGCACATATTTGTATAATGTCCACACAGTGGTGCAAAGCAGTCTGCTTTGACAGGACAAGAAGGGGCTAAATTTTAGCCCCTCTCCAAGATAAGAACTGCAAAAGTTACCCTGCAAGGAATCTAGCCAAGGGAAAAATAAAACCATATACATCCTGCTTCTGAGAGGTTATAATTCCCTCTGTAATTTGTATTTATGTCAAATGAAGTTACTTGTATGAATCTCAATGAGATCATTTTGCATGGAATTTTGACAGAAAATCCATACTTTCTTTTGTAAGATAGAGAGAGAAAAAGAAAAAATCAGAGTAAATGACATGAAACTGTGTGTGATCTGGACAGCAAGAAGACAGCTATATATCCAACAACAGGAATACAGCAGTGGTTCCACAGCAAGAACTCCACCAGAATTAAGTTAAAAAAAAAATTGGGTAATTAATTTTACTTTGAAGTTTCCTTTGTTTTATTGTTTCCAATCATTCCGTTTGCTTTTTTTCACTGCTATGTAACTCTGAATTACCACTCGAGACAGCATTCTGTATATCCTTCTACCACAGTTAAAACCGGAACATGTCAAACGTATTTTCCATTGCTATATTTACAATTTATCTACATTTATCTTTTTCTTTTACATTTACGTACTTCTTTTACATTTATCTACATTTTACATTTATCTACATCTTTTTTATTTTTAACAATTTATCTACACCTACATTTCTGACTCTCTGAGCTAAGGGGCCCCCAACTATGCTAATAGGTCAGAGTGAGGTTTAGGTAGAAAACATTTCCTTACTGCCAGGAAAGGTTCAAGTTAATAGCTGAATGTTCTCCACTCCTGAAAAGATTATCTGTGGAGTAGAGTCCTCACAGCAATTTGTGGCCCACAATCTGAATCTGAAATTACTTACCAAAAAAATCATCATACACTATTATGTAAGAAAAAGCTTGGGGTTTAATCCCAGTTGGATAGAACAAAGCACAAGGATAAACAAAACTCTCACATGGAGCTAGTCCAAGATAAAGAAATGTTTATCCTAGTATAGGAGCTGTCTGCTCAAGGGAATTTGAAGGGACAGCTACTGTTACATAATCAACATAACAAACCCCAGACCTATACCCCATTATTAAAGCTCAGTTATCAGGAGCACCCATCTACAGTGTTTTTGGAAACCCGCAGATTTGTACTTCAGTACAAAATGTACTTTTACTTTCAGAAGGATACACTCAGTGTTTTCAGAGGGCTACATTTAATGTTCACAAATTTACTTTTACAGCATTTAGAGGCATTACTATTGCATGATGCACAAGTATCTGAGAGATTCTTACTCAAAAGCGATTAATTCCTTGCCAACATGAAAATTGGATTAACCTTAGAAATGCTGGTTTTCCCCATAGAAAGTGAAAATAGATGAACGCAAAGAAAGTTTCAAAGCTGAAGCCTTATTTAGGCGTTCAGGACTGACCATTAGAGAATTCCATCCCCTTCTCCATTGAACATAGGCAGAGCATAAGAAAATGAGCTTATTACTAGTTTTCTTTTAGTCTTTGTGAATATTCCCCCATTTGCATAGCTCCTACATGTGTTGCTTTTTCCTCGCACTTTGTCAGCCACAACTTCAAATTTGGGAATTTAAGGAGAATGGCAATGACCAAACAAATAAGCCCAGACAGAAAGAAGAAATATGGAAGAGCTAAAAGTAAACCTATGAATAAAAATGTAAAGTAGAAAAAATGAAGCTACATACGCATTCTGAAAAGCAAATGAGATTAGTCAAATTATTAAAAACAAGTTAATGAAAATTGAAGGATATGACTCAAAACTGAAATTTATTAAAACTTGGGCATATCAAGTCAAGAGAGGAAAGGAATTTTATCTTTTTGAATTTGAATTCTGATTATGAGAAAGTCAAACTGGTATCAGTAAGAAATGTGTCATTTTTATTGAATCTTCCTGAGCTTTACTCTGGTAATACACTCATTTAAAATTTCCTTTTGCATGAATAAAAACTGAGCAAGAATTTCAGATTGCAAACCCGCATTTTTATTTTGTGTAACTATGGGACAACTAAGTTAGTAATACGTTTTCACTTAAGTCCTCTGCTAAATCCAATAGATAAATTAGATTCAAAATGTTTTTTCTGGAAAACTCTTTTGCCAGCAATATATATATATATATTTATATTTCTCCCTTTGTGGCACTTGGGTCTTGATTACTTTGTGCTAAAGAGTGACAACAGCAGTGGGTGCATAGAACAGAACAGCACAGACTGGTGTTGCCAGGATCCTCCATCAGAAGGGCTTTGATTCATTCTGAAAGCCCTTAAACTAGTATGTCTTTTAATAAAGCAGTGCTGCTTCTCCCATCATCTTAGAGGAAGTAATTCTGGAGCAGTCATGCTCATCTGTGATGTATGTTACCTTTGGTATCAAGCCTCTACAATAAGCAAAAAATCCCATCTAAATTATTATATATTTTCTTCAAAGAAAGCCTGAGAATAGGTTTTCAATTAATTTTAACTATAGGGAGAATTTTAACTATAGGGAGAAGTATGTCTCCAAAAAAAAAAAAAAAAAAAAAAAATTTTAAGATACCTCAGCTTCAAATGTATTTAAATGCATAAATTTATCAATTAACTTGAAAATTCTGGAAAAAAAAGTATGACATACTCAAAGAGCAAAAACTGTAAAAAGGACTTTTTTTCATAAAAGCCAAATTCCTGCTTTAAGTGGAAAATGGGTCCTAAGCCTCAACATAAAGTTGCAACCCAGCACTTCCAGCAAAGACTTAGAACCTAACTTTGATGGCACAGTATTTATTTGTAAAGCTTACAAGACCTAAGAAATTTAGCCTCCGCCTGAGTCAAAGAAACCTCAGACTATTTTATATGGTTTCTATATTTTCCAAGATCATTTCTGCCTCTCACAAGAGCACAGATTCTTCAAGTACCATGCTCCTGGGCCACTAAGGTTAGGAACCAGACTTACTATCTTTACTGAATGCTCTAACTGCACAGAGAGGCAATCAGGGAATGACAATACTACAATCTTACTCAACGTCAACCTTCCTGCAGAGTTTCACAGGGCTCAGGCTGTTAAGAGTAGCCACCCACAATCTATTCACAGAGCTACATTCTCTTCAGCAAGGCAATGAAACAGGAGAGCAGCTGTATTTCCCAACTATCATCATCCAAGGTGTAACCGCGTCCTTGTTTTTCCTATCATTCTGACATTTTCTTTCCTGCACACACAAACTACACCAATAATATTGTAACATTTCATTTACCTGCATGTATCTGCAGAAATACCTTTGTTGCATTCTTCTACACTTCTTTTCTAAGACGTGTTTTGCAGTCATTTCCATCTGTCTGTGTTTTTTAAGAAACAGCAAATGATCTCAGATGCAGAAAAGTATATTTCATTTCTAAACTATGGACTGTGTTTAGACTTTTCTTTTCAATTTGATTTTCTGTTTTAATTCTGATCTTTATTCCTATACATATGTGCAGCAATACTCTGAACAGGCTGATGCTTTGCAGTTATTTGCAGCAGCATCAATTTTCTATTCTAAACCAGTAGTCCAATTAACAACAACAAAGTCAACTGCAATGTGAAGCTTTCTGTAACCAAAACATTCCACTAGCAAAAAGAGATTTTATTAGGGATCCTAAGTGAAAAGAACGAAGAAAAAAACCCCAAACCAAAAAGAACCCTGTATTTTCTGGAAGGTAAGTATAGTTTTAATACTCTTGGATCTGCCATATATTTCTAGAAACAAGCTGATAAACCCCCAAAAGCACATGGAAGTTAACTACTTATGCAGTTCTCTTCAATGAGACCAGCACTTCTTTTTAAACACTATTCCACTGCAAATATTAATCCAATCACAATCTAATTAATAGGATTAGAGACTCAAATGGCCAAGCTTCCACTGACTTCCCAAACTAATCAAGTTTATTACTTTTTTTCAACTTAATAATCCAGCTAACAAAGATAAACCCATTTATTAAAGCAATTTTTCAATACATTACACATTTGCCCTTTAAGGCAAATAGTAGTCTAAAAACTATGAAGAATAGATATCAAGCATAACAAGAATCCAGTCAAACACAGATAAATTTAGAGTATGGTATATGTGCAGTACATCTGCATTTTAAGGACATTCTGTTCACAATGGAACCTGGTTATTTCATTTTCTCCTCTCATGAGTCACATTCTCACGTGTTGAACTTTCCCTAGTGTGGCACATTTTCTGTATCACTAAGCTCTAGGTCACAGAAGCATGTCAAGAAAATGGGCAAGCAAATGGAAAACTACCTTTGCCCCTCAAAGGCAAATGGGTATACTGCAGATGAGAGAAGATAGGAGACCTCGCTGGTGGCAAATGAGGGCAGTAGACAAAAGAAAGAGATCACTATGATCACTTAAATAAATGACAAGGGAAAAAAAAAAGTAGTATTTATTCAAGACCAAATTGTTTGAAGCTACCTGAAATACTGAAATTCTGAGCATGGAAGTGTTTGTGGAATGGATGATCTTTAAAACTAGTCCTTAAAAATAATGACAAAGTACATTTTAAAAAGGAATTCAAGGAACCTACAAAGCTCTCTATGAAAAGACGTCTTCTCAGTGACAATCTATCTTGACCTTGCTTATAGTAACAGTTCAGGCAGGGGAAACACCAGAAAAGGTCTAATATATTCAATTCCTTTCTGGCTCCAGGAATGTAATTCCACTGTAGACACAAGAGTAGCAGTGAGATACATCGGCTTTTCCAGCTCTCCATCTCCACCGCGGACAAATGAGCTAGATACACTTGCCAAGCTTAATGCTTTCTGAAAGGTTGTCCCCTCTTGAGTGAGTGTGGTCAAAGACTAATCAAGTAAAGATCTGTACATGGACTCAAAATCATTGTTACACTCTTCCAGCTCTTTCTTCCTCTGGTGCTTTGTTTGAGATGTGCCTCTAATATAGGGACCTAATGTTCCAAGGTGCAAAAAAAAAAAAAAAAGGGAAGGAAACATATACTGCGAAAAAGTCCTAAAGAGAGCTGGAAACTATAATCTAAAAGCGTCTTTCAGTGGAACTCTTTGAAGAACGCACAGTGAGAGGAAAAGGGAACAAACAGTTGTCTTTCAAACATGAAGTGAGTAACCAGACTAGCTTCCTAATTTGCATATGGAAATGAGCTATCCATTGCCTGTGCTTGTGTCTAGTCTAAATTTCAGAAGTGATTTTTATTAGAAATAGTTCAAGGTATACTCTGTTCTTCTACTCTACGACTACTTTTGGTGTCAGTGGGGCCCACAGGTACATGGTAGAATACAGGTGACTGACATGTTTAGTAGTGGAATTATTGTCTACAAAGAAGACATTCTAAAAAGCAAAAGTAAGAAAGGTGACAAATCATCTTTTTGGAACTACCAGATTTGAGAAACTTCGGGCGTAGGGGGAGGGTTGTAGAAGTACAAATTCAGATGACTGAATGCCATACAATTTCCATAAAACGTGCTTTTTATCTACTAAAAGTTTGCATCAGGATTCTACTCTAGTTTTCATTGACATTGCACTTGGCTTTATAGCAGTTAAACACCTCAAAGACAAATGCCTACTAAAAATTCTTTTATAAAACCAGCTGTTTCAAAGAAATAACAACTTTAGTTTAAAAAAAAAAAAAAAAGCTGGAATCCATACTTCACCACTTTTTTTCTCAATAGTCTCTTAATAATGAACATCCTGCCCTGGAGAGGGCACTCTGTGACCACACAACGTATTCTTGTATCATCATTAACAACCTTTTAGTTTTAACCCAGATATGCCTGTGATCCTAACAGTTTGCTTAGTCAGTATACAGCTTCTGTCAAATGTAAATATATTAAGAAAGGGAATCATATGGTGCCATGCTCATCAGTTCAGCCTGGCAACATGTGTAAGTCCTATATCCTGCCACTATGTTTTACTATTAAAGATAGTGTATTTTGTGATGCTTTTTTATGTACAAGTCATGTTTTAAAATTCAAAATGTAGTAATTCTATAGTATTCTAATAACTGATAAGTTACAGGTGTTGAAAGCTTTCTATTAACAGTGTTTCTCCCATTTCTTCCATAGCAAAAGCAACCACAATCTAAAAAAAAGTTCCTCTGGTATACTTTATTGATGTTGAGGGAATTAATAAAGATTATACACTCACCTGAATAGTTCAAATTTCATTTCTGGAAATACAAACCCACTTTCTTTTCCAGATATTTCCTCCAATATATTAAAATTAACACTAATCAATTCTAGTATACAAGATAAAATCATGCAATAAAAATACATGGAAAACTCCCTGTGCAAGCCAAACTTTTAAACATACTTCAAGGCATAATTCAATGACTAACTGGCAATTTGGGGGAAAAAAACCCTATCCCTGTAATATGAATATTCCAAATACTCCATAATTATTTAGTTTGCTATGTTCTACCACCCCTTAGAGGCAGAGTACTGAGGATATGAAACACTGTTCTGAACTAGTCTAGCATGTCCTTCAGGCAAGTGTTTTGCATAACTGAAAAAAGAATCTTGATACTACTAACAGAATCAACTTTTTAAAGCAAAATCTTTTAACAACATAGTACCTTGACTTCCTTCCTAACTAGGCTGTAAGAAAAATAAGATAACTACATTTGTACTCAAACAGACTCAGCTTGTAGAACTTCCAAATCCATAATTTAATGGCTAACTTCATACTTAAAATAATGTGCGACTATGGTACACTTAGATTAAATGCATAAGCTTTGTTTTTAAACACTGTCTGGATATACGCTGACACTAGTGCAACAGAAGATGAATTCAGTAAAAGTACCTGGATGTCCAACATTAAATTTCTATCGTAGTTAAAGTATCAGTCAAATAAAGTGTCAGCAAGGGCTCAAAGGAAAATAATAAAAAAAAATATTTCACCTTTCACCACAAAAGAGGCCATCTGCATGTCAGTAGTTTCAGTGAGATAGACTGAAGCCCAATTTGTGCAGGATTTGCAGATACCAAGGCTGAAAATTAAGATTTTTCCATCTCACACCCAGGTCTATTTAAATAGTAATGGGTTCAACAACTCCCCATTTTCACAGGTGATAACCAGTTCATCTTCTTACTAGTATTTTAAGAGGCTCCATTTCTCTTACCCAGCTGCTACCCTAATCCTTTTTTCTCATCCCCCTCCACCAAAAGTTTCCACTTCCTTAGAGCACCTGGCACACTCTGTTCTCTTCTTGCTCTTAGATGCTTGTCCTCAACCCTTTTTCTAACGTGAGCTTTTGTCACATCCTACCGCAGTCTTGTCAGAACTTCAGCACTAGGCTCTAAGGCAGAAATACACACCTCCTTACTATATCCTTGAAGTAAGCATCTTTTTATTTTTATTTTTTCCATTTATTTCAAGTTCAGGAAGCTGTAGATTTCCTAACAGGTGCTGAGCTCCTGATTAGTCAGAGGCACTTCATTCATTTACTGCAATAAAGCATCTATAATAAAAGTTGCACACTACCAGCATAACATCTAATTAGTATTTGTCCACCATAGGAAGCTCTCATCCAGTTAATAGCATATTCTCAGAGAGCTAGATAGATATTGCATGTGGAAAAGTAACATTTATCAAGTAACCTGAGAAAAGTATCTGATGGAATAGTTCCTGGGTACCCATTAAAAGCTTTACAATCAAAACTATTGATCCTTTGAAATCTTTAATTACCCTGAGGGGACTAAACTGTATAGCTTAATAAAGTAAATCTGTATGGCTGAGAGGAATTCATGGCTTCTCAAATATAATACCATCAGTACTGACTGATAAATTCACCCATATTGGTGTTACTAAAAAATGAGTGGCATCATCACTTTGGAAACCAACACAGAGGTGGGAAGAGAGAGGTAGAAAGCAACAGAGAGGTGGGTTGGTCTGGAGATCAGATGCCGACTCACTGTAGCATATGCTTCTCCTTATATTGTATACTGGCTGTTTAACTGACTTCAAAACTTAACATTTAAGACATAACATCAAATTCAACAACAATCTTGCACTGCTAGAAAATTAGATTAATTTTTCCTCAAAATATAGTAAGTCTATTCAATATTTACATTTCTAGAGAAGATGAAGATGATTATTTGATCATCACAAAAAATTAATAATCTGAAGAACAGCTGGATTATTGAAACCATAATATTAATCCACACCATTTGTCATAACCTTCATGAAAATAGTGTGGCAAGATAGTAATTCTTTCTAATATACTTGCACAACAATGTGCAAATACAGAAAATTAACTGCAGTTTTATCTCACAGTATTGTTAATTCAACAATAACAATATACAATTATATAGTGGATTACATACAAGTTTCACAAATAAATTAATTAGGACCACATTTTAGAGAACCTGTCTCTGATAAAATCTCCCAATGTGATACAAAACTACATCAATAACAACTATGGCAACTCTCATTTCAAAAGCAATGAATGCCTCATCAGCTACCTTTACAAAGACAACAATTTGAGAACCACTGACTTGTCTCCATGAACCTCTATTCCCATTCTCTTACCTGTTATGAAGGCAGAGTGATAATATCCACAGGATACAGAGGAAACAGGTTTTCCAACGTTCACTTGACAAGGGACACTTACACAGGCTTCATCAGCCAAGCCAATCTGACCTTCCGAATTGTCACCCCACACAAAAAGCTGCCCATCCTCTAAAATGAAGACATAGATAGTTAACAGATTCAAAACCAAAACTAATAAAAAGTTCATCTACCTATTTAAGAGCATTTCATAAACTCTGTGTATGATACCAGTAAATGTCACAATCTCAGGGATATAAAATAGTATTTAGGACAATGCAACAAAACAGTCTGAAGCAAGAGGGTATCCCTTAAGCTTTTCAAAAGTGACACAGAACACTTAGTCATCAACTCATGTTAGACCATAAATAGCATCAGGAAAAGTACTACGTAAAAACATTCCTTCAAAAAGAGGAAGATTGAGTGTAAAAGACAATTCAGTTGCCAGAGGTAAGTATCAAAATATTACGGTGAATTTAAGGCATCTTCTCATTTCTAGAAGCAAGTCACCACTTTCTCATTCTTCCAAATGTATTCTCTGCTCTGACTTTGGTACACATCCCATTTATTCTTGCCTTATCTTTCAGTTCTCTTCACAGGTGATTATATTGCCCAGCTTCATTTTGTTTTCCTTAAACTATCACAACACCTGTTCCAAGTTTATTAAGACCAGTCTCTGTTGACACAAAAACCAATGGAAGCAGTAAAACCCAAAAAAAGGTAGAGATCAGCATGAAAAATCTCTACAATTTTCTAGAAGAGATGAGGTCTTCTCTCTGTATATTTCTTATTGGTGGGAAATAAGTTGTGAATGAAAAAATGTATCATCTACAGTGCTACTGAGATGCTGTTGGGAACTAAAATCATTCAAAGTTGACTTACAAATCTCAGGAGAATGTTAACAACTGTCCTGAAAAAGTACAAACCAAACAAGCAGGCTAGCATCTCTCCCATATACTCTTATGTTCTCTGTCACATTCTGAAATGACGGCCTCAGTAACTTATCCTAAACATGTACAGAAACAGCTGCTCTATACCAAAACTTGAGAAATTACACTGTAGGGTAATAAAGGACCACCCGTCCAATGGCTGAAATTATTATAACTGTGGACTTCAACATGTCACAATTGTATAATTTTGCCATCAGAGAATTAGGTCATAGGTTAGGCCTCTTAGAATTAGTAAGGACACAGTCATGTAGCCTGTACCAGTACACCAAAACAGTTGCAGTTAGAAGTGGAATTACAGAAACTTAGTTTTTATAAGATACATATTTTGTAGCTGGCTTCCCTGGAAATTAAGATTTTTCCCATTTTGAGGGTATTCATACTGTCTCTCTTTTGCAAGGATTCCTACTAAACTAGTACAGGTTGAGTTCCCATTGCAGGCCATCGCTCATGGACAAGGTCTACTTTCACATTGTAGGAAGTTAATGAGACTTCCACCCCTTACCAGATTTTGTTGAAATAGGCAATTGGCTGTCAAAAAATTACTGTGGTTACTAGAGAAAGAAGACAAGGAGGCATAGAAAATACACCCACATATGCAGACAGAACGTTGGAAGAAATGTTTCCCTGGAACACCAGGCTGGACACACATGAATAGATTTTAGTAGCGGTTGCTCTTACCAGTTACTGCTGCTGAGGTGTATGATCCAGCTGCTAGCTGTTTGATCTTGTGCTGGTTGGTAAAAAAACTAATTAAATGAAATGTGGTCCTTTCCTCTGTGTCACCCAATCCCAACTGACCTTCACTGTTACCTCCAGCAGCATACACATTTCCTTTTTCTGCATACAGAAAAGCACATGTAATACACAGAATGAAGACATTCTCAGCAGTGGCAAAAAGTCAGAGAAACTGGAGCAAGTAATTTAATTTTCAATGGAAAAACATTACTGAAAAGTTGGTGTCTACTGCCCTGAAACATCCCCAAGTTGACATTAGCAGTTTCTGTTGTAGCTAGCAAGTAGGCTTTCCTCCACACGCTTGGATCAGAACTTTCTAAAGGCCCTGCATGTACTTTGACTGTGACTCCTAACATTTTGGATGCTGATCTAAAACGTATATATAATTTGAAGTTCTGCAAGAATTCTGAGAAAATGTCTACTAGTAGCCCTGGCAGCCAGAAGCAGCTCCTTCCCCAAATAATGTATGTTTTAAGATAAAGCAGGAGGAAAATGGTGAATGATGTCACAGGGAAGAAAACTGAAGTCATATTAGAACATAAATTAAAGAGATACATAACTTGATAGTTTTGAGTACTGCGAATGAAATACATTTTTCCTTAGGTTTTTATTAGAATTAGTTTACCCATTTTAATATTTAAATCACTTTCAATTTAATTAACTAGGTCTTTATTTTGTTTTAGAATCTTAAAATTGAAGTTAATGTTGGTGATTGATATCTTCAACTTAGGAGAACTTTAAGATTTATATTTTTAATTTTACTATCTTTCACATCTAAAGTGCTCATCTATGATGAAAAAGATAAGGCCCCTTAATAACAGAAATCCAGACACAAATGTGGTAAGCAACTGACATACAATTTATAAATGGTCCTTGCTATACAAACGGCCACAAATTATCCAGCCAGTGTGTACCCTAAAAGTGACTAATATTTACCCTGTGCAGTCTTGCATACTCAACTGTTATTAAAATGTTCAGTTTTATTCTAATAGTCTTATTTACAGTGCTCAGGGTCTCCACATATATGAACCTCCTAATAATCAAACAATCCTCTTTATAACATTACTGCAAGCTAAAGGATTGCAACCACAAAGACGGCTATTCTCTTACATAAATTTTAGAAGCATGACAAGAATTTGCATCAATTCTCTGTATACTGTCTAAAAATTTATTTTTTAGTTTAAATTTACAGTTTATTTATTTATAGCTTAATAAAGCAACTTGTCACTGAAATAGCAGACTACCTTGTCTAACCAAAATGCAACAAAATTTGAAGACTTGAAAACATTCAGTTCTACTATATTTACTCAAATATATAACTTCACACTAATGAAGATAAATTACTTGTCAAAGGTAAAATTGAGTACATATATATAAAAAATACTAATATACATTTACAGGGCTTAAATGAAATATTGATAATTGTTAACCACACCGCAAATGCCAGCAAGAAATTTTTTCATCTCTCCATTGCTAGCAAAGTCCCATATAACATTATTTTATAAATGCATTGGCTCAGAATAAATCAAGCATTCAAAGAACTGGATATCAAAACCCCAAGTTCTACCAGTTCATCTATTTGTCCTTCCTCAACACTCCTGGGATTCCTAATGTAATTTTGCATGAAAGCAAAGGAAGAAATCTATCTTTAATATGTATATAATATAGGTTACATACCTGTGTAAACTAAAGTGTGGTTTCTTCCACAAACAGCAAGTTTTGTTTTTTCTGGTTTTAAAGCTATGAATTAAAGCCAAAGGGGGGGAAAGTTACAAACAAGCTGATAGCTGGTTCAACAACAAAATGTTCTGTGCTCTAGAGGGAGCTCTGATTTTTTTCATATTTTCACCAACAGAATAATTACAAGACTCGTTGCCCATTTGAACCCAGCACATGACTTATTAAATCAGGATTCCCCCAAGACAAGAAAACAGATATAGACCTTAAAAACTTACAGCTGATGCTCAGGTTAATTTGATGATGGCTACTTCGTCCCAATGCCACATTCCCCAGAATTTACCATTTATGGGACATGCCTCAAAGAATGTATGAAGTTGCAGGACAAAATGCATGCTTAAAGCTGTCTTCCGTTCTTATTAACAGTACCATGCTTAACACCCTCTTATGCTTTTCCCACTATCTTAAACCTGTAAAATCATACTGTTCTTTTGTCTTATCATCCCTATCTTCCTTCGTTATGCACAGCTACTTTTTTTGCTAGACTTTCGCTCTGCGCTGCCCTCTTATTGATCACTAAACTCAATGGCTAAGGATAGTCCTATCTGGACTAGTGGCTAAAAGAATAGATTTTGCATATACCATCCTGTCTCAATTTCAGCTCATTTACCACCCACCCAATGCACGTACTTCTCTGCAGTCTGGTCACTGTGAAAGTCTGGGAATGTATGCAAGAGGAGTCAAAAATTATTTTGGTGGGAAAGAGAGAATACAGAGGTGCCTTTTCTCCCATGACAAGTGCACTCCATTTCAGAAACAGAGGAAAAAAATCTCAACGCCTTTTCCATCCTCTCTCCAATTATTGATCATTGCCAACAATTGATCTTCTCCCAGCCACGTCCATGTGCCCTATACAATGCTCTTAAAACAGTCCTTCCAAATCAACTTTCATCAGCTCCATAACATTCAGATTAAAGTCCCTTCTACTTTCTACCAAGTCACTGAATAGATCTATCTACTTATGCATGAACTGTCTCTGATCTATCACACAGACACAAACATAAATTGTCCAAATTCAGGTTCCTGCCTATCCTATCCGACACCTACCACCAGGCTGGAACCATAACACTTACAGTGTTGACTTCTTCCTACAATCTTAATCTGCTGCTTTGTATCCCAAAACTCTGCCTCCAACTTCAGAGATGATCTTAATCAGCTCTTCAGAAGCCTGTGCTCCCTAACCTTCCTCCCACTTAGGCTAATCAATTGTATTTGATGAGCCATGCAATATTTACAACATTGCTGGCAATTTTTCATAACCAATTTCATTAGTATCTAGTCAAGTCCCAGAAGATATTTTCTCAGGAAACATGCAGCCACAACCATTTGGCCCCAAGCAGTAACTGAAATGTGTCCTTACAGCTCCGTTCCCAAAGCCAAGTGATGACTGAAAAGCTAGTGAGAAAAGCTCCATCACTTTCTCCTGCGGCCTGCTGCCAAGAGAAGAAAGATACCCTCCTTGTGACTTTTTTTCAATGGACGCCAGGTCTGGTTTGAATTGTTGTCATCTTCTCTTCATCTTTTATTCTCCATTGTAATTTGAGAGTAAAACCAAAACTTGACACCCAATCCATTTAAGCCAAGGTAAGAATCAATCTCTCACATGGCTGACAAGAGGTGAACCTGAGAGTAGCTGCATTCTCCCTCTGAAGTGAAATAGAGAGAGGAGCAGATAAAGGACAGTAGAATAAACTACATCAGGAAGAAAAGAGTTTCAACAAGCTGGATAATTTGTTTTTAACAAAAAGCTAACAGATCGATTTGCTGGCAGAAAGGATGAGGATAAACATTTAATGGTGAAAAGAAATGTGTTAATGGGATAGATCTGACTTGACATAAGTAAGGAGATAGGGAAAAAAGTATTGACTTAGTATCGTTTGACAAGATAAAACTGGCTAGGAAAAATCAAGAAGATAAAAGTACAATGAAAACACATTTTACAACATATGAAGGAATATGGACATTTATTTTACTACTTCATACAAATATATTAACATTTATGCCCCCTCAGGCACTTCTTAAACTTGCTAAAAATGTAGCAGTACTTGTAGAAAGTTCCTGATAGTTTTTTGGTTTTTTTTTTTCATTTATAAAGGTGCTAAGACAACAGTGATACAAAGGTTACACAATGCTGTTGGAACTCTGCTTTCTAACACATAGACAACACTGCAGAGATCAAGCACCTGATTAATGTCTTTGCAGTTACAATGAAGATGTGGTTTGTCAGAAAAGGCAAATATTACATAAAATGAAAGCTCTCAGAAAACAGGATTCTATGTATCTGAAGTAATCTTCAGATATAAAAGGACCCAGAATCTGGAACTAATGGAAAACCAATCAGGGATCCTTTTAAGCTACCTTTATAAGCTTGTGTAGTAATATGCTACACATGATGAGTAAAGAAGGCAGAATCAGTTATTTTGGAACTGCATCTTACGAAGTACCTTTTCACAAGGGTGTCCTTCGAAAAAGACCAAAAAAAAGAAAAATTAAACAAACCTTTAACACATGTTGGTTTGCTGACAGTGTTCTTTGATCCTAGTCCTAATTGGCCCCAGTTGTTACTGCCGAACATGTACAGTTTACCATTCCCTGCAAAAAAACGTAGTCAGCGTTTGAATACCTCATACAAAACAAGATGGTCATTCACACATTACACTATTTACTACTTCCTTTTTAATGTAAGGTTTGAGATTAGGCAATTCAGTACTTAAGTATAAACAATAATTAATGTCCTTGTGATTTTTCAGTACAAAAGTAGTAATTACATTATTTAAGTAAGAAATCTCCAGCCAGAAGAAGGGACAAAAAGCAGAACAAACATCCTCTCCTTTAATTACAGCACAGATAAAGTGCTCTTCAGAAAATAAAATGTTGTACTCTTGGACAGAACCTGCAGTTCAGAAACCACAGTATCTATAGGCCTACTTACAAAATTTAAGTGAGCATCCACAGCTTTTACTCCAAAGACAGGAATGAATAATGCAACAGTAGTTAATACAAATTTGCAATATTCAGCTTATTTTATTGTTTAGGGGGGCTATTTCTTTTACTGCAAAATGTCTTCTCTTAAAATGATTTACAAATTTGCACTTCTACAGAACATAGGTTTTGATAAATTTTCAAATGTGTTCATAGATGGTATTAATTAGTTACTCTGCCTATAAAGGAGGAATGCATAAAAACACCATGCAGTCAGGGAGTTTTGTAAACCTAAATGCAAACATTAGATTACAAATCTTCAACAGGAGCAATGCTAGAATCATATTTCAGACTGGTATGATATGTCACTGAACTTGCAGGCTTGACCATTACACACAATGAACTGTTGTAATTCCAAATAACCAGTGTTTTTTTAAGAGGATGGTATATGAACACATGAAACATTTGTGATCAGGCATACAAATTAGACAGTCAAAACTGACTACTGACAATACTTTAAAATGAATTCATTTAATTTCATTTCAGTTTTTAAACTATTACCTTTTGTAAAGCTGTGAAGTTCACGCCCAAAGAGCAAAACCTTGTTCCAACAGAAATCTTTGCAAAACCATACAAACTGGTTTGTCAAAAAAAAACCCCAAACCTTTTGCAACTGTTAAAAGGGGTTTGTTTACTTTTGATGAAGGTCTGCAGAGCTTTGTGAGTTAGACTCCATCACAAGGCTATCACGTAAATAAACTTTGTCATCCTAGTCATCAACAATTATCCCATGATCACAATGCATAACAGCAATTCCACATAATAATGCCAAAATATTATGGCTGTTTGCACTTCAGTAGTGTAGGTTACCTGTGGAGGTTCTGAATGTGATTTATGAAGACTGTGAAATATGATTTTGAAATGTTTAAAATATAACAAAAATACTTAGTCTGTTAAAAAAAATTCCATTTATTTTCTTAGATATAACCACATAGTTAAAAAACCCCAACAAACGACCAACAAATAAAAATAACTAGTACCTAAAGTCCCAATCAAATTGTTAGATTTGACAATTTTTGGAACGTGGGGCTAAGTGTCAATATTATGTCCTTCCAAGAATGTTTGAAGGGAAGGAAGTCTCAGGTCAAGTCTACACTCATGGTGTTTTACTAATAGCATTTATATCACCATCCTAATTTTGATAATGCAATCACATCAAAACACATGCAGAGCTATCTGTCACAGAACAAAGCGCACCTTAACAGAAATAATTTTTATTAGCAAATGGCATCCTATATTAGTATCTGCTTCCTTGTATCCTTGGTCTATACTTTTTAACTGCCTTTATAAGACAGTAGTACTCCTGTCAGAATGTGATGCCAAGCTGCCATAATTCAATTTAAGCACATTCTCTTTTATCCATTGAAAATTCCAACAGGTCATGCTTTTCATCCTATAATCTGCTGTTCCTTGTATCAGTCTTTAAATTCTCAGGCATTGCTTTCTAAGTCAAGGAGCTTAATAGATGAGAGGAATATTTTTTACATTCTTTTACAACTGAGTGACAGCCTTTTATAATTTCAGGCTTCCAACACTTAGCAGTGTAACAGAAAATAAGAAAACTGGGAAGCAGACAGAGAAGGAAAAGTAATATGTGCTACAGAGGAACCTAAAATAATGCCTGTAATGAAGCAACATTTCTGGGTCTGTATAGCAAATCGGGTTTTGGAACAGACATGACACAATCTAAGCTGGCCAGGAAACAATACAGAATTTTGCACACAGAAGCCTCTATTTTCTTAATTGCATACTGATGTATCTCCAGTCATCACCACAGATGCACTGAAGTGAGAAGTAATTCAAGAGCAGACAAATAGGCAAGGATCATATTTCAAAACTTTGCAAACTCAGATCGCTCTTGTCTTTTTTTTTTTTTCCCCCTCTTTGGTGCTGACATACATAGACTGTGGCCCTCTGCCATCTGGAACTGCTGGCAGAAGAGAGGGCCAGCAGAGTAAGATTATGACTCTGGGCAGCAGAAGGAAAGCAACCGGACATAAAGAAAGGCACTACTCAGACTGTTTTGGTGATGTGAACATAGTTCCAACACCGGTCTCCACCTTCATCTTGGTACAAGACTGGAGCGTTTCTCCAAAGTATGCACGCATTGGCTTATCACCAGCAGATGTTTCACCACCAGTAATTTGGAGCTATTAGAGAAGCCACGAGATGCTTACATCTTTAGGAACAGAGGGTTTGTGAAAGAGTTCAGGAAAAGAGTGTCTCCTATCCAGTACTCTTCTCATAAGAGCAGCTGCTATCACAACTGTGGTTCCTGGGAACCCCATTGGTCATGTGCTCCCCTGGTTTATGAAGCACTACTAAAGGCATTCAGTCAGCACCTGGAAAGTACCAGCTGAAATCCTCTACATGCTCCATGGTAACAGCAGACAGTCAAGGATTCCTATCACATATGTTTAAAGGTACATTTTACATATTCCCTCCATCGCTTTCTAAATTATATTAGTGTGGGAGAGAAATAACATGGAGAGACCACGTACAGACTTTGAGCATTTGTTATAAGATTCTATTAAGAAGCTGTATCTGAAGGTACAAGGTAATATTTTGGCCAGAGTATCATATGCCAGGCAGCATGATTTTTTATTTTATATTTGTGGCATGCTGTGAATAAACTATGTTAAGAGTTCATTTAAAATTCATTTGCAATTTATATACATCTCACGAAAATGGGAATGATATCAGTTTTGTTAGGCAAGTCACGATATTCTCAAAATAAAAGCTTTATTGAGCAACAAGAACAGTCACACTTAGGACATTTAGCATCACAGAAACAAAACCAGCACAGTATGTTGCTTACTCCTAGACATATCAAAGATCAACACAAGCATGTACTAATCTTTCTTGTTTTCCCTTTGCAATTGATGCAAAAGATATTGTGCCACATTCTGACAGCCTGCTGGTAAACAGGAAGAATAGAAGGAATCTGGTGTCCAAAGACCTGGAGAGATTCCAAAGGCTCTTTGATGTAAATTGTTGAATGTTTAATGCCTTAGAAAACTCAAAATTATGAGCATACTATCTTGCTGTGGTTCCATATGCACCTCTTTTCACTCCTACTTTTACACCTGAGAGTTTTTTCTTTCCTTCTACCCTCTTGCATTGGGCCTTCAATTCTCTCCAGGGCTCTGAGTTCAGAAAACGTGTCTTCCATCATCACCTTTTTTCCCCTTGTGAACAGGATAAGACTCTTTGATCAAATGTGGGCAAGCTGCCTTGGATACTCTAATCAAGGCAAGTGAACAATAAGACAGCTGTTAACTTTAAGAGTTTTGCAGAAAATAAAATTAATAGAAAGGTATTGGGAGGAGATTCTTAAAAATATGTGCAACATCACTTACTTCACACCAGCTCCCAACAGGTTGAATAAATTGCTCTCCAAAGCCTGCAGTTATAGAAGCTGCTGGGAGTGGACTGTCAGCATTCTTGGGCCAAAAAATACAGAAACAGGGTAAGAAACATTATTAAACATATGACAAGTGATGCTGGAAGATAGACTGCTCATGACTGTGTTAAAGAACTAAAGAAGACAACTGCTTAAAAAAATTCCTGCTTGAACATTTTAATGAAGATTGTGCTAAAGAGCAAATAAATAAAGAAACACAAATTTCTATCCCGAACTCCAAAACTGAAGAAGGAAACGTTTCTCCGATTAGGTCAGCAAGCCAACTCAAAGACAGCAAGTAACTATGACGGGTCCTTTCTATTCCAACATACAGCCACAGTATGTAAATAAAATTTTGGACTCTAACTCCTGACCTAGAAAGCAAAAAAATTGAGTGTTTTATATTTACTTTACATTTTTCTCCCTAAAAGCAATATGGGAATACTGATGCTGCACTAGATGAAAGAAGTATTTGAAAATTTCTGAATATTTTGTTTGAATGCTAAATATTAGTTCCTGTACATTTTCTTCATTTGCATTCAGTCAAGATTCAGCGCTAGATGTAGCTGTCTCTCCTGCCCAAAACCAGCTTTAAACAATGTTTTGTATCAGCTTGGGTGATTGTTTTACTTATGATAGTTAAGACATGTTAGTGTAAAACTGATATATTTCAATTAGATTTGAATCTACCTCATATTCCCACTGTCCCCTCCATACCTAGGTCTCACTACCCCTTCCAGGGGGTGGGGAAAAAAAAGAAGGGGGGCAATGTTGTGACCTGTAAGTAAAGACTGAAAATAAAATGAAGCATGCATTAACACACACCTGCTTGAGATACTTCTCCTTCCTCAGTGATGTTTGTCTTTTATCTCTTCCAGGTCAGGTTCAGATGGATTTCGAGAAGCTCCTGGTTTCCCACAAGGTCTGTACCCTTCTCAATACACTCATTATCAGCATACGCTTCTGGAGCTTTTATTCCAGGTTGAACTGCAGTTCAATGTCATTCACCAAGGGCCATAATTCCACTGTATCATCCAACTCCATCTAACAGCAGAAATGTGAGGTGCACACGGGCAATGCACAGGTGTGAAAAACAAATGAGGGACAAAGGTTTTCTGTTTCCCTTCTTCACTTTTTTGTATGACTCCTGCCGCTTTTCTACCTTTGCTCGTTGTTGATCAGTATTTTACACTCACTTTTGTCTCTA